TCTGTCCAATCCCCGTCTTATTCCTTCCTTTCTGCTCCTGGGAGATGAGGTTGGTCGGTGCCTCACAAGATGAGACCTTCATTAATTTACTTACCTAATCCCTACCAAGTAGCAATAAAATAATCTCGATAGTGCACAAGGAAAACACAAAGTTTGTTCAAGCAGCATAAGTACAACACATGTTGGCAGAGGTGCAAGGGGAAGGGACAAGTACAACAGCTTAGGACTTACATTTGCTAGACATAGAATTAATCCACTTCATTATACAACTGGCAGAGTCTTCGGGTACTTTTACACATGCTCCAGGGTGGGGGGAGGCATTTTAATTAGAGTGGTTCTTGGGAGTCACTCTAATTAAAATGCCTACAGCATCCCATGTATTCACCATCCTGTGTTTCAAAATGGTGGCAGGGGCACTTTAAATAAAGCTCATTTGACAAGCTTTACTTAAAGTGCCCCTGCCACCGTTCCGAAATGCAGGACACTGAATACGAGATGCCACAGCAGGCTGGAGTGTTCTGGCTCAATTAATCGAGTGTGCTCCAATGCATTCTAATCAGAACACATCAGAGCGCATGTAATAGTACCCTTCATGTTCAAGTGAAGAACAAGAGCGAAAGCAAAAGTACTCTTTTTGTTTCATTAATAAGTCCAATAAGGTTGAGTCATTGCACATTGGCCGCATCCAAAAAAACTTGCTAAACCTTCATGCCTAATTATATATACATGAACTCGAGTCTCCAGGAACATATTTATTATGCTTTCCAAACTCTATCACTATTACTTAAATAAAAATCTATGAATTCATTATCTGTAGAAACTCTTCAAGTGGTCTGATTAAAAAAAAAGAAAGAATGGAGACGAGCCTCCAGGGCGATGAGACAAGGTTGCAAAGAGGGTTGTCAAAACACTAGCTGTAATTCAAGTTTGGAATTTGACAAAAAGATTTGAACCTGAAGAAATAAAGACTGGCAATTCAAAAGAATATATTATTAGTATCAATGGAGATTTGCAGTATGAGCTTTTCTTCAGGCAAACCTACTTGCTAAGATAAATGAGCTAAAAAATTCAGTATTCATATAAACGTCCCTATGTGTCCATAAAAATAAGAAAGAAACCTCAAGAAGATTCAGTTTAAAACAACTGGAGGGGAAAACAGAACTCATGTTCAATAAATAAAGTTCCCCAAATCTTCTTCTCTCAAAGAACAGCAAAAAACATCTTTACAGCCTCGTAAATCCATTTCATCACTGTTATTTCCCTACGTTCACCAAATCTTTCTTAGAAAGGAATATAATCTTTTAAACAGTATTACATTAAGATAAGTACAAGATAAACAAGTTATTGTTCTTGTTAATTGTGACTAACACCAGTACACTAGGTGGCAAGTCATGAGATGACTCAATTAAAAAGAGCACTATAATTGCTCTAGTTCTTGAAATGTTTCCTGTCAATTTATTTTCAGAAGCAGATCATTTCACTAGTAAGCTTTGTTTTGCCTGAATCTCTCTCTCTAAAAAACTGTTTAGGTCTTGTCTGTTCAAAAATAGCTATTCCTGATTAACTACCCATGTGGACTCCCTTAAACTGGAATAAGTGCCTTATTTGGAATTTGCTTACTCTACTTCGGTGGATTAAGGTAATTCCTAAGAAGAGTAGTCACTCAGAGTTAGTCAGTGATGCACACTACACTTAAAAATTCCCTCCCTACTTAAGCTTGGAAATTAACTTCCCTGTGTAGACAAGACCAGAGATGTAACTGCTGCCTATGTTCCGTAAGCATGCAAACAAGGAAAAGAGTACAATGTGGTTTAAGAAGCTCCATAGTCAGAAAACAGTCAACCACCCCTTCCATCAGCATCAGAACTTCTGTATGTGAAGTTAAAAAGCACAGAAGAAAAAGGGTCTGCTTGTCGTGTCCCATTTGACTAAGGAAGTCAAAAGCTATGAAGCAGGCACAGGTTTCTGAGTTTCAACTCTTATCAACAATGCAAAATGTAAGCATCTGCCAGGCAAGTCTGTTTACCGAGTGGCCAGATAATTTAAAATGTATTATATTCTCCCCAACACTTAGAGCTGAGACCAGAGTCAGCTGACTGAGTTATACCACCACATGAGTCCTTTAAGGTAGTTCTACAAAAACCTTCCCTTGAATGTGCGTGTCCAACCAAACAAAATACAACAAGAATTATTCAAAGCTCAGGGCACCAGGGGTCATTCCCTCTTCTTCCATCACATGGCAGTGCCCAGTAGGATCCCTGTTGAGGAATAAGCATGTGATTTTTACTGGGCTTGCCAGCTATCCTGACACCAGGCTACATTCTCATGCCCATGATAAGATTTTCTATCAACTTCAGTGGGACCAAGTTTAATCACCTTACTGTGACATGAACAACTGATGCCTCCTAAGACTGGGGTGGGGGGTACCATGGCAGTGAGCAGGGACCGCCTGTAGCCACCAGCATTGGTGGTGGTGAGCAGGGACCGCCCGCAGATGCCACTGGCCACATCAGCAGCGAGGGGGAGGGGGCAGGTGGCAAGCAGCAACCACCCGCAGAAGTTGGCAGCGGCCAGTCTCGGGGTGGGGGTGATTGTGCCCCCCCCATAGCCCTCCTACACGTTGCATGTCATATACATACCTACAACATGTAAACCTTACACATCTGTTAGGTTAGGCTGGTGGCCAACCAAGTAACAAACAGTCTCTTTTCTAAGAAAGGAGGCAAAAGAAACAATACCCGTTCTCCCCAGGTTTGAACAGACTCCCTAGAGAGTGGCTAGCATCCATAACACAGGAAATAGCACTTTCCAGTGATGCTTGCTCCACCGATATGAAATATGATCTCGTGATTGTGGTGCTGGATTGGACTCAGGAGTTCTACAGTCAGTTCCTGATTCAAACACAAGCTTTTCATGTGACCCTGAAAAAGCAACAGTCTCTCTGTGCCTCAGTTCCTCATCTGTAAAATGGAAATAACATTTCTTGTATATGCCCTGTCTATTTGGATTGTAAATTTGCTGGGACAATGACTAGTCCTAAGTATTTGTACAGCACCAGGCACAGCATTGTCTTAGGTATAGCCTTTAGATGCTACTATCATAAATATCATTTACACGCAGCCATCTAAAAGCCTGACATATATGGCCCCAAGTCAGAGAGAAATCCTAACTCCTAGAAATGCTCAGCACAGAATTAGAACCTAGCAGGATATTCAGCAAACAATTCTAAAGGTATTACCACTTTCTCAATGGAAAGTTTTGGTCACCAGCAGCTCTCTTGTTAATATTCCCTTTAACATATGCAGGTAATTAGCATCAAACCACAAAATACAAAAACAGTTGTGGATGGTTAATGATTCCTTACTAGAAACACCAAAAACTTAAAAGGTCCAAAGATCAAATATCTGTTTTTAAATAGTAATTCTCATTTAAAAGTTAAGCTAATTTAATTGGTGGCTTCCAAATAAAAACAATGTGAACAACACAGACATACTATCTATAGCTACTAAATCAAATGGTAAGACTTTGTACATTGTAATGAATGAAAAGGTAAGATAAGTTTTCATTCCAGAGGTATAAGAAACAGAAAACACAGTACAGTCTGACCAGTAAACAATCTGACCGAGTTATATATAGTACTGGATCTACAAATTATTGTGGGTTTTTTCCCCCAAATACTCATGAACTTTTGTCATATCGGCAGGCCCATGTCACAAATACCCTTGATAACTCCTGATGGGGGAGTGGGGGGGAAAAAAAAAAAAAAAAAAAAAAATCAACCATGTAGGAATCTTTGATCAAAGTTTCTTGACTTCCTTTTCTGTGTTTTTAGGTAAATTTGGTAGACTACAGATCAGCCTCTTAGAGCATACTTTTCAGAAGGTGACCACTTGCAAAGCTAGAGCCAGATTTTTCAAAACAGTTCAGCTCTAATTTAAGTCAATCCTGGGGCAATTTCAATTGCCAGATTTTTCAGCATCCAGGTTCGAGAGCAAAATATAAGCAAGAACTGCCATATTGGATCCAATATAGATACCAGATGCTCTGCTGTTTTCTTTCCTCCAAGACTGATGACTACATGCTTCAGGGAAAGATAAGTGAAGCCCCGTACAGAACTGTTCTGAAATAATCTGCCCCTTCAGGACATAGTGTCCCATACTAATCTCACAGCTGGGCATAAGCAAAGTTCTCTCTCTTCCAAAACTTGTCTTGAGTGTTTGCTGTTATGTTTCTCCCCGTGTAAATGCTCAACCCCCATTCCTGAACCTTAGTAAATTTTTAGGTCCAAAGCACTTTTGAAAAATGATCTCCAAGCGACATGCCCCAGCAGAAATAAGGGCCCTTTCTACAAAGGCCCCTGCATGAAATTAGCTTTAAGCTAGAGCAGTAGGGCTTAGCTTTCAACCTGGGAGCCACATCAGGTCCGCAGGGCTCCCCACGGGTCCAGAAATTTGGTGGCAGGGGAGTGGTGACAGCATTAATTGCCACAGCTCCCAGAACTGAATGAAACAGCAGCCCGATGTGCCAGATTGCACCAGCATGGCACATGGGGCCACTCCATGGCCAGATCCAACATGCAGGGGTTGGGCTAGCACATTGCATCACACCCACGGACTGACCCCAAGCTGGATCTAGTCTGTGGGATCCGGCCTGCAAACTGGCCCCATGCCACTCTTCCAGCCCACTAGGCCAAAAGTTTGAGCACAACTGAGCTAGATTTTTCAAAGGAACTTCAGAGTCAACTGCCATATTCATCCTAAGTTTCAAACACCATTGGATGTGCTGAAAATCCCAACCTTATTTCAGTCATAAATCTCTACAACCTAAACCTAAACCATTTAAGCATTTCGCACAAGTCAGTGGCAAAATGCAATATAAATCATTTAAAAAGGAACCTTATATTTATTGGGAAAAAACATTTCTAGTCTTTAAGGAGATAATCACTTCTACACACTTAACTGCCTGCAATAACTCCAACGTTGATGCGTGCTGCTTCTTACCTGAGAAGGATATGGTGGTGGCAAGAATTTGAATAAACTTATTCTTCTGAATGGAGAAAAATACAAAAGGTCCTATCAGGAAAACAAAGCCAGCCTGTTAGGGGGGGAAAAAGGGAGGGAAGGAGAACAAAATATGACAGCTGATAGCTGGATCTTTTCATACAAATGTTTCTACACTTTAAGAAGTTCCAGAAAACGTCACCAAAAGCCTCACCAGAAAAATCCTGTAAGCATTACTCTTGCTGATGGGCCCCCAGCAGCGGTTTTCATCCAAGTAGATAACTGTGTAATTGCTCTCTCCTGCGCACCTCGGGATATTGCTGAAAAGGGCAAAAGATACAAAGTCCCATCTTTGCAGAAGCAGGGAAGTGTTAAAGGCTTTCTGGTCTACGCTGTATGAAACCAGATCTGGAGCTCTACCAGCTGGCACTGTTCATGTACTGACATGATCCTGAATGTCACTTCTCACCACCATCAGTGACTCCTTTCTAGAGCAAATAATTTTTTCTTATTTGTTCTGTGCCAACAACATGCAGTGCTTTCCTCCTACTCCCCCCTCCCCGCCTTCTCTTCTATTAAATCAAGAAGTGGTCTAAGAGTTCCTACAGCTATATGTATCCTTTGTCTCTGGAGGCAGCTTTACAGACTCTCCAGTTCCATCCTGTACCTGGATGCAATAACCCACTTGTGAGTTTACCCATTTCGCCAAGCTCGTTGTGGCAGAAACATTCCTTAAAGGGTCAAAGAATCTCAGAAGGGTCCTTGAAGGGGAACGCACCATGAAACCAAGGACTGTGCACCATTACATATTAACCCTGCAAAAGGCGAGACAGCTGTGACAAGGAGTGGAGTGTTCATCTCCTGGCCCTCCTGTTCTCTTTAGGAGTGCTGACTAGCACCACCAAAGATTAAGCCCTAGCGCGAGAGGAGCTGTACAAGAACAGCTCCTGAGCTGAAGAAGTCACACAGGGATTGAAAGGAAAAGAACTGGGATAAATCAGAGAAGCAAATTAGTCACAGACTGGGAAGCATATAGGTTTTTAGACCATTTTTGCTTCACCCTAATATAAGCAACACACATGAAAAAGAAACCAAAAGGGACAAGTAAAATAGCTATAATATATAATATAATAATTGGTATATAATAAAACCTTTTTGGTTTTAAACAAACTCCTGCCAATTGACATTATAGCCCCTCACTCAACTCAGATTAAATGGCTGATTTGAGTTAAAAAAAAAAAAACCATGAGCCTCAACGGAGGAAATGGGTATGGCCTTATGGAGCTGTTTCACAACTGCAGAGCAATACAAGCAGGAAACACTGACTGCCTTTATTTGAAAAGAGAGGCCAGGCTGCAGGCCTTTGGTTTTGCAAGGTTATAGCCTTTGGAAATTTGTGCATAGAATTTAACTGAAACTACTACTCTATATTCATAGGATATGGCAAGAAAACTAGCTAAGAAATATACTCAGGCACCCAGAGAGGTCTGTCAGAAACATACACATGCAAAGGAAGAAGCAGTGCATGAAGCAGGGAAGAGATCTGCAATGCTTAATGAATGTAACACACGCTTCTTTATCAACATACAGTATAGACAGGTATGCAGGGCCAGAATCACGGCAGGTGACAACTGCCGTATCTCTATGAGAGCCAGTGGGGCTCCAGTACAGAACCCACCTGAAAATATCTGTGATACTGTTTACTGGAAAAAGCAACACTACATCTGCCATACTAACTGACACCGGAGCTGAGCCAGATCTCCCTGACTCTTCACTACTGCCTTCCACTGAGTTCAGGTTTCAGACAAAAACTAGAATTCACAGCTATGATCCTCTCCCATTACCCCAACAACTATTACACAACTTAATTCCCTGCACTTCTGGCTTTTATTGGATGGCAACAGCCAATGTTGCAGCGAGAAGTGCCATTTAGCACCAACGTACAATAGGAGGAAAAATACTTAAATAGCAGTGGCTGCCGCGTGCAAATGCTCATTTTCCCCTGATCCCCATTCACCTTCCCTGCACTCCTTCTGAATCCACCCAGCAAAGAAAGCCCAGGTGGTGGCCTGGGCATATTCAGTTATGAAAGCACAGAGCTTTAATTTATTTTCCAATTTGTACTGGAGTACTGTATCCAGTTTTGGGCTCCACAATTCAAAAAGGATGTGGAGAAGCTTGAGAGTTCAGAGAAAAGCTACGCGCATGATCAGAGGTCAGGAAAACAGACCTTACGATGACAGGCCGAGAGCTATGGGGCTCTTCAGCCTGGAAAAGCGCAGGCTCAGGGGCGATCTGATGGCCACTTATAAGTTTATCAGGGATGTTCACCAGGATCTGGGGGAATGATTGTTCACCAGAGCCCCCCAAGGGATGACAAGGTCAAACAGTTATAAACTCCTGCAAGACTATTTTAGGCTAGACATAAGGAAGAATTTCTTTACTGTCCAAGCCCCCAAGGTCTGAAATAGCCTGCCATCGGAGGTGGTTCAAGCATCTACTCTGAACACCTTCAAGAGAAATTTGGATGCTTATCTTGCTGGGATCCTATGACCCCGGCTGACTTCCTGCCCCTGGGGCAGGGGGCTCAACTCAATGATCCTCCAGGGTCCATTCCAGCCCTAATGTCTATGAAATCTATGAAATTTGCTCCCTATGGGTACATCCAGATGAGTGTGCAATGTGCAGCTTGCAGTACCAGTGCAGCAGGCAGGAGTTTGCTGCACTGCTAATTTGCAGTGCAGCAAGGGAGTAGGGGGTTAACATGGGAACATCCCAATATTAAAAAAATCCATACCAGAAAAAA